CAATCAATACTCACCTAACCTTTCTTCCTCTCCTTTCTACATCATTTTGGTCTCTACATCTGCAATTGCTTCGATTGCGACGGAGATCCGAGAGGTTAGAGCTTCAAATCTGATGTCAGCAAACGACGGCGGTTGCAGGGCTGGGGGTGTGGTTTTTGGGCTGCGATTGTGCAAGGTTGGGGCTAGGGAGGGGCTGGTCAGTTAGGGAGGGGCTGGTGGGCATTCGAGGGGCTGGGAGGGGGGCTGGTGGGCTGGGGAGGGGGGCTGGTTGGATGGGGAAGGGATTGGTGGGTTGGGGAGGGGTTGATGGGTTGGAGAGGGGGGCTGGTTGGCTAGGGAGGGGTCTGGTGGGTTGCGGAGGGGGGCTGGTTGGCAGGGGAGGGACTGGTTGGCTGGGGAGGGGTTGGGGAGGGGGTTGGTTGGCAGGGGAGGGGCTGGTAGGCTAGTTGGTTGGGGAGGGGTTGGGGAGGGGGCTGATTGGCATGGGAGGGGCTGGGAGGGGTGCTGGTTTGCTGGAGAGGAGGCAGTGGGGGCGGGGAGGTGGGCTGGGGAGGGTCCGGCCCCGGTGTGGTTACGATTCAGGTGGCAGTTGTCAAAGGTGGTGTTTTCCGGGTGTGTATGCGGGACGGATCAACCGTGGTGTCGGTGATGGAGGGGAGGGGGCTGGGGTGCTCCGGGGCTAGGGGCTAGGGGTGGGGTGCCTGGGTGACACGACACGGTGGTTGAAGTGACACGGGCGGTGGCTAAAGTGACACGGGCGGTGGCTACAGTAGGGGTGGGCATAACGGTTTGGTTTGACCGAACCGAACCGTACCAAACCGAATTAAACCAAACTGAAACCGAACCATTTGTAATTTGGTTTGAGTTTGATAGTATTCCTCCCAACCCTTATTAAACCGAACCAAACCGAACCAAAATCATAAAACCGAATAAAACCGAATAAAACCGAACTAATATAAAAATGAAATAATTTCTTATTTTTTTAAAATAACAAATCAAAACCAACTTACACCAAACTAAATCAAACTAAAATATAAGATTTCTCTCATTAATTTGATCGATGTTAATCTTTTTGAAGCTTTAATTCTTTAATTTTAGTGTCAAGGACTAGAGTTTACTACAAGACTTACATTCACAACTATAACAATTATAGTGGTTTAAGTAGATAATATTTAACTATAATTTATTATCTACTACTACTATATATTTGGTTCATTACTTACAAGCACCAGTTTTGTTTTTGTTTCGGCTTTATATATAATTTGATTCATTCCCGTTGTTGTTGTTGCTTACAAATGTGTCATGCTTATATATTTTTGGTTCATATGTGTTTTGTTACTGTTTGCAAAATTATATCTAACATTATATTTGGTTCATTACTATCGCTTCTTGGTTCATTATTTTGAGTTAAATTTTTTATTTCAATCCAAACCTTAATACTTTGGTAAATCGAACTCCAAACCGAACCGAACCGTACCAAACTGAAACCAAACCGAAACTTAATCGGTTTGTATTTGGTACATTTTCTATCAAACCGATTAAACCGAAACCGAACCGGAACCGAAGAAAACCGAACCGAAAACCGAAATGCCCACCCCTAGGCTACAGTGACACGGGCGGTGGTTACAGTGACACGGGCGATGACTACAGTGACACGGGCGGTGGTTGTAGTGACACGAGTGGTGACTACAGTGACACAAGCGATGGTTGTAATGACATGGGTGGTGGTTGTAGTTACAAAAAAACGAACACGCAGTGACATAATTTTTTTGCAGTTACATCATGTTTTCTAATTGCACATATATGACCTTCTTGATCACATTTTGCCCCTTTTTAAAAGTGGTCACTGTTTGGGTAATTGGTTCAAAATTAGTAATATCCAAGTAAAAACCCCTAATACTCCATATACTACACATATTCCATAGACGACATTTTCTTTGCCTTTTGACCTAAATATTCCAAGCTTTGGCATTTTGATCAAGGCATGAATCTTGCTTCCATACACATAAATTTATATTTGTCCTACACATAGATTTAGTATGCAATAATCATATACTCCGTAATATTACCTCTGAATCCTGGAGCACCATTTCCAGGTGTTGCCCACCTCTAGATTGTGCTAGATTATGGTGGCGTCTCGTATGACCTCAAAACCTTTACCCTTGAGGCCTAAGAGGTCTTTGCGTGGTCAACTTTCCTGATGAAGAGTACTGGCCTGTTACATTTTCTGTCATTTTTGTGCTCTGAGATACTAAACCTTAAACCTTTACCCATAATGCCTAAGAGGTTTAATGCACCAAATCCTCCCGTGATACAAAAATTCAGCGCATTAGTTCCATGTGATTTGAAAAAACGTCAAACCTCCTTGTGTTTTAATTAATCATGCACATAATCCCTTTTATGAATAAATTTAACAATTTGGAAATCATTTTTCCTAATATTCTGATTGAATATTCAAATAAATATGTCAAAATCTCTAAATCACAGAGGGGAATCACTCTACCTCTTGACAAAAATGTTAATCGTTTTTCTTTTATTTGACAATTGAATTTGTTCATAGAAGAGATTTTATGCATAATTAATAAAAACACAAGAGGGTTTGACGCATTTTTTAAATCATAAAGGGCTAATGCGCCGAATTTTCATATCATAGGGGGTTTGATGCAATAAACCCATTAAATGTATTGTACTTTGAAAATCAATACTAAATTCCTTTGTTAAGCATGAAGATATATGACAGCTACTACGAATCCTCTTAGCCATATTTGACACATTTTTATATGCAACACCTAAATATGCCAAAAGATATAAACATTAAATACAATACTCGATTAAGCTGTCTGCCCAATATATGAAGAGACTCAAATACCTCCTCCACCTCCTCCTCCTTTGCAATGGTTGCAAAGTAGGAAAAAAGATAAAGAAAATCTCAAAAAATAATTAAAAAATAATAAAATATTATAAACTAAAAATTTTAAAAAAATAAATAATAAAAATGGAAAAAAATCACCGCCGCATCTGCCTCCTCTAGCACCATCACCTCCGGTCACCGAAAAAACAATGCCATATTAATGACAATTTCAATGAAAATTTTGGCATTATCAAATATTTTCAGAAAAAATAGGATTTTTTTACACTGGTCAGAGGTGGTGTGGTGCAGGGAGACAATACAAGTGGTGGGAAAAGTATCCATATTTTTTTATTTTTAATTTTTTTATAAATATTTTTATTAATTTTTTATTATTTTTCTATGATTTTTTTATATTTTTTTACGATTTTATTATGAATTAAAACATTTCATTATGATTCTTGACTACCTTTTACTCCTGTCTAAAGGAGGGGTAAGAATGGAATGAAAAATACCCACGTTTTAAAAGAGGAGTAATATGATCCTATTTTGGAATAAAAACGTTAGAAATCCTATTTTTTTTATTTTTAATCTAATTTTACTCCTATTTAGAAAGTGTGTCATTATGTCTCAAAATGTAAGTATCTAACACATATTGGAAAACGTTAATATTGATATACAAAGTGACATCATATATAAGGTGACCATGTTAGTGTGAGTCATATTTTTGACTATAATTTTTATTTTAGTAATCGAGGAGACCAAAAAATTAGAAATAGAGAAAAAACTTTAAGGGTGTTTGTCGGACTATTTTCCATCTCAGAGCGGACAAAATGAAATCAGACTTTCACAGTTATAAGATATATAGAGACCGGATATTTAACTTACTAAACGAGACCAGACAAGTTAAAATCAGATCAGATCAGATCAAACCAAATGATATTAGAAAAGTCCTATCCAATTAAAAACATCCTAGCTAAAAGTTGCAAATACTGAAAATAATACTCCGTACTTTATTTTTTCTCTAATCAGGAACTATTATTGTCCTGTCAAAAAGGCTAATTATGGTATTTAAAAAACTAATTATGGTATTTATACTGTCATGATATTAATGTCCTATGGTACTACTCCCTCCGTCCCGAATTGAATTGCAAACTTTGACCGGCACAAGAATTAAGAAATGACAATAAATGATGCTCGCTTTTTACACTTTTGCTCATCTTTCTAAAAGTAGATGCATTTAAGTTAATGGAGAAAAAGTAAAAGTAAGGGTAAATTTGTCATTTTATTCTTATTTACATATCTAAAATAGAAAGTGGAAAATCATTTTGGAACAACCAAAAAAGTAAATTTTGCAAATCAAATTGGGACGGAGGGAGTATACACTTTGATTGCATGGGAAAATATTGTGCTTCTATTTTAAAATTTCAATCATTTTTGAAAATTTCCATTATTATATTTATATATACGAAGTACTTTAATAGCTCCAAATAATCCATGAGTCTTTGTTTTCCATCCGAGATTACTGTGTGCCTTTCACCTCTTCCAATAACCAAACGGCGTTTCTCCCGGGCATTCTACACTATTCATTCATTTTCAAACCACTTCGAGATTTTCTTCCACGCATGGCCATCTCACCCATGTTTTCCTCTAAAAAACGCTCATCAAACTCTCCTTCTTCCAAGGTTATACATATACGGAGCATATAATATATCCTCCCTTGACCTTTTTCTCGTTGAACTTGAGGGAAAGTCAATTTTAAATTTGTATATTTGTTTCGTTTAGTAGCTAGTCATGTTGTTGAGTTGGTCCTCTAACCTTGTCCAGTTGTTCTGTTTTCATTTTTGGCATGCTAGCAGCTTGAGAAGATGAAGGTCAACAACAAGCAGCTCAAGATGTCATCTTCTTCCAAGAAAAACAAAGGGGCAAATGATAAGGTAAATAAACTGCTACTCCATTCTTTTCAGGTGAAAGTTCTTAGACACTATTGTGTTGTAAGGCTCAACAGAATTTTTTGTATGCTTTCTAAACATAAAAAGGTGGAAGGGTCCCGCCAGTATAGGGACAAGCCTCCCCTGGTACATCTTCAACTTTTATTTCTACTTTCCTGCGAACCTGAGACCAATAAATCCATTTTATGGTCATTTTTTCTCAGACATCATTTGCGAAGAGCCAAAGGCCCGTTAGGAATTGAACATACATTTCAAAGACGACTTTATGCTCAGCAATAAAATGTTTTGAATGTTCTTGCCAACTCTCTGTCTCATTTGACCATTTGGACCTATGCTTCCCTTCAGATTTTCTCAATAAGTAATTATTAATATTTGCTTGAATAAGAAGAGTTGAAAGGGAGTCTTGGCGCACTGGTTAAGTGTGGTGTGTTGTGTGAACTAGAGTTCACGGGTTCAAGCCTAGAGAGCTGTCTTTTGTGAAAATGACAAGCTCTTATGCACCCTTGTGGTGGACGCTTCTCCGGACCCTTGCCTTGCGGGGGTGTCAAGCAGTGTGCACCAGGCTGCCCTTCCTTTAGTTGAATAAGCTGAGGAGCTAACCATAATATCAGCCAAGTAATCGGTATATTTCCCCATGAAATGTTTGAAGGGTTGTTTGGCGCTAATCAGGAAGAAGGCTAAAGGCGGAGGTGTAAAGAGGGAGTATTCCACAGTTGACAAGAATTCGTTGGCGATGAGGAGAGCACAAAAGATTCAAGCACAGCTTGCACCTGGATTTCCTAGTCTCGTCAAGTTTATGCTGCGTTCTCATGTTACTGGAGGGTATTGGCTGGTAAGAAATATTTTTCAGTATGGCATTAAGTCAAGAGCAATTTAAGCATTTTTGTTGTTGTGTGGAATTGTGAGAGTGTGGTTTGTCAAATGATGAATGTGATAGGGCTTGCCAAAATCATTTTGTACTCGTTTGCCAAAGCATGATGCTACTATTATTTTGGTGGATGGGGACGACAAAGAATGGGAGACGAAGTACCTCGTTGTAAAGTCGGGCTTCAGCGGTGGATGGCGAGGCTTCTCGATTGCCCACAATTTGATTCCGGGGGATGTCTTAGTTTTTCAACTTGTAGAGTCTTGCAAGTTTCAGGTCACCCCTCCCCTCTTTGTATTTTTTCCCTATGTATTGTAATGTTAAAGTCTCAAAACTTATTGCCATAAATTCCTGATGAATGAATCCCTCTTGATTCAGAAATTTAATTTTTGTATTACTCCCTCTACCTGTTTCAGGTATACATTGTCAGGGAAAATGACTCAACTGACGATGACTTTGCCGCCATTAATCTTTTGAATCTAAGACATCAACCACTTGCAACAGGTACATCTCTGTTGTCTCTTTAATTGTTATTACGTATATAGTGACTTTTTCTCTTCCATTTAAAGTGACTTCACCTATACTCTCTTCATCCCCCACATTGCTTTTTCTCCTTTTGGGTTCTGTACCAATATTTTTATCCAGTAGCATATTTGGTTACACTTGTGCAGCTAAAAACATTCACACTACAATTTCAATAACATCTCTGGCTAACTTTCTCCAACCATTTTTATTGCACCTTTTGTTAGGTTATAGCTGATGCATTTCCAGATTCCGTGCTAATATTGTCTTTCTAGATCAATTCCCTTAAAAGATTTAACATTGCAGTGCTATGAAGAGAAGCATTAAAATATAGCAACTTCTCAATCTGTCTTTCTCATTTGTAAAACAGTACCATTCACACTCACCTCAACCTAGTTGTGTTTTTTCAAACTGGCTTTTCTCTAAAATGCTGGGTACCACATACAATTCATATTTACTTGAAGAACAGTGTGCACATTGTGCAAAGAATGTGCATATTGTGTGTGTGCAAAGTATGTGCATGTTGTGTGCCTCAGGTCAAGGCAGGTATCTTTGGTATAATAAAAGAAAAATGTTATTTGTACAACTGCAACTAATTTGTACAAGTATTTTGCTCAATGAGACAAGACTTTGTTAGTATGATCTTATGCCCATGAGAACAAAAATATTGCTTGTGTAGTTGTGTGAAGATTTCTTTGCGTTATTTTTGTACTCACAGACATAAATGATATCACCCAGAAGTCTTGTTATGTGAATAAAAAACTTGTACAAATGTATCGTAAACCAGCATGACGTCCAGATAATAAGAACTTGAACTTTTTTATATATTTCTGAAAAGCAGTTCCATTAAACACAGACTAATCGGTTTCATAGAACAAAAACAGGCTAAAAGGATAACCGCCCTGAACATGGCAGTTAGCTAGATCCTTCCATACACATGAGACACAGCAATATGATGATTAAAAGAGACTTCAACTTTTTATACATGATTGATATTGCAGAAAAACAGCAGTCATTTCCAAATGTACAAATGTGTACATTTGTATCATAAACCAGCATGACGTCCAGATGATAAGAACTTGAACATTTTTATACTTTCCCCCTCTGAAAATCAGTTCCATTAAACGCAGACTAATCACTTCATAGAACAAAAACAGGCTAAAAGGATAATGCCCTAAACATGGCAGTTAGCTACATCCTTTTATACACATAAGACACTTCGATATGATGATTAAAAGAGACTTGAACTTTTTTATACATGATTGATATTGCAGAAAAACAGCAGTCATTTCTGGAACTGGCAAGGCAAGGCGAGGCCAAAGTGACAGAGGAGTCATCAATGTCAGAAGATGGCCCTACACCATCACACGTATCTGCTAACGCCTCCGATGAAGATGAAGATGGTAATGGTGGTCTCAGATTGGCAGACTCTGCTCCCGAATTTTCTGAGGTAAAAGATTTCAAGAGCTTCTGCATCTTTGCCAATGGTTTGATAATCGATTCAGAGATCCCACGAGACCTGAGGGCCAAGTACTATCAACTCTGCCGAACCCAAAATGCATATCTTCATCAACACCTCATAGAAGGCCTCAACTATAAGCTCATTGCTGGCATCATCTCAGAGACCGTAAACATAGCAGATGCCATTAGAGTTTCCAAGCTCACAACGACTGCCGGCTGCCAGCATTTGGAAGCATGGGACACTACCCTCAAAGGGTTTGAGTGTTTAGGCATGGGAGTCCAGTTCTTGCGCGAGAGACTACAAAAGCTCATTAGTTTGTCGTATGAGTCGTCAGAGGATGCCGCGTCAAAGAGAAGAGAACGATGCGCTGTTTTAAAAGATGAGCTGAAGGATCTCAGAAGCAAGATGTCAAAGATGAAAGAGGCAATGCAGAGTTTGGATGATGAGATAGAGCTGTACAGCAAGAAAGATAGGGTAGAGATGATGTTTAGAGATGTGGCCACTGCTCCATGGTGATTCTCTGTCTCTCTGTGTTGTATTTCTTGGTAGACTGATAGTGTATACTTTTGGTTAGGAATGGCTTCTCATTTTGATCCCTCCCTTGCAGTATTAGATAGCTGTTAGTTCCTGGGAAGCTTGTGTATGTGTACTGCTGTATCTTATTAGTTTTTGTGTACTTGATGTAGTATATTTTTTGTGTATCCTGTCGCTTGCTCTTTTGCTTTGAGCCTGTTAAGGTATAGGCATGTTCATAAAGATGGTAACTTCATGAACTAACTCCCTTTGAAACTTTGTGGTGTGCTTTTTTTGTAACTTCATGATGATGGGAGTAAAAGTTGTAATTGCAAGAATAGGAGTGCAATGTTCCGTAGGAGTAAAAATGAAGGGGTGGACAAAATTACCCTTTATGCGCAAATTAAGTTATTTTATTAATAATTCAAAATCAAATAATACAAGAACATATGAGAGGCCACATAACAGTCCCCTGGCACAGAACATCCGCCGTTGCCTCAACTGCCATCGTCGGTGGCGGCGCCACCACCACCACCGGCGTCACCGCCATCGCAGCCGCCACCGGCGTTGCTGCCTCCATCACCACATGCACCACAGAAAGCCGAATCAGTGATCCCATCTGTTCTTGCCGTCAGTCGCCGCCATATCCGACGTCTTCACCGCTGCCTCATCCAACACCACCATCTCTCACCTTCGTGAACAGACATCTGGCACCGCCGCCTACACCACCACCGTAGATCTCATATCTGATTTTGAATCTGGTATGACTACCAGTCAATTGCTATCTTACGGTTGTAATGCCATCTTGATGGTATTATTGCCATCCTGACAGAAATAAGATGACATTTTTAATTTAAAAACATGGCATTAATGTATTATCAAATGAGAAGTATTGTCATCTTTGTTACATTAATGCCATACCAACAAAAAACATGACACTAAAGTTCTTGTATTCTATGAGTAATATTGCAATCTTCAAATGATACTAGAAAATTTCTAGAAAAATGTAAAGCCATTATTCCATTCTGAAAGACTAGAAAAAATATTTTTCAATATTTGACGAGATCAATCAAAATAAATAAGTATAAAGTAAAAACAAGATCGAGAATTTTCATATAATGGTTGGAACTTCACAACTTTCCATGACACTAAAAGACTAGAAAATTTCTAGAAAAATGTAAAGCCATTATTCCATTCTGAAAGACTAGAAAAAATATTTTACAATATTTGACGAGATCAATCAAAATAAATAAGTATAGAGTAAAAACAAGATCGAGAATTTTCATATAATGGTTGGAACTTCACAACTTTCCATGACATTAATGCCATACCAACGAAAAACATGACACTAAAGTTCTTGTATTCTATGAGTAATATTGCAATCTTCAAATGATACTAGAAAATTTCTAGAAAAATGTAAAGCCATTATTCCATTCTGAAAGACTAGAAAAAATATTTTTCAATATTTGACGAGATCAATCAAAATAAATAAGTATAGAGTAAAAACAAGATCGAGAATTTTCATATAATGGTTGGAACTTCACAACTTTCCATCCAAAAATTTTAGATCTAAAATAACAATTTTCGGTTTGGATGTAAAAATCAAACAAATAAAACAAAAGAAAATAGTAAAACAAACCACGAGAATAAAAAAGAGGAGCTCGTGGACAAGGAGGGTGTACAGGAGGAGGAGGAGGAGGAGGTGGGAGGAGGAGGAGGAGGAGGAGGAGGGAAGAGGAGGAGGGAGGAGGAGGGAGGAGGAGGAGGGAGGAGGAGGAGGAGGGAGGAGGAGGAGGAGGAGGAGGGAGGAGGAGGAGGAGGAGGAGGAGGATGTGACACTCCAAAAATTTAAATAAAAATGAAAATATTTTTTATTAGTCAGATAAAAAGGTTACGGAAATGACATTTTAATTATTAAAGTGAGATAACAAAAATTCAATAGTCATAACATTCTAATCAGATAAAATTTCAAAATTTATGATCTTTTAGTCAGATAAAAATATTTCAGTAATAGGAACAACATTTTATTAAACAAGTGAACCAGACAAAAATTCAACATTTGTGACATGTTTAATCTAATAAAAATGATCCGATAATAAAAGTAACAGTTTAAGAATATCCTAATACACATTAAAAATATTACTAACATACTATTTGTCTCCTATGCTATTACTACCTAGTACGTACGTTTATAATATACTCATGTACAAATATATGCTAAAGAGAGAGAATTTAGACTAAAAGAGGAAGCTATGTGACGTAGTTATCAAACAGCAGCCGGTGAAAGAACTACTACACGTATAAAACTTCGTTCGAAGTTTGAGATAAGAACGGAGAGGTATGATGAAGCCGATTGAATTTAACTCCAACTCTAACGCAGCCTAAAAACCCTCGACCTACACCTATAAATAATAGTCTAGGACTTGTGTTTTCTTCATCCCGAAACCTGCAACATATATACACAAATACGTATATATATATATATATATATATAAAATTGCGACCCATCGTTTTAGCCAGAACCAAGCCCTGAAAACACCTCTGAAACCTTCCCCTTCGTGAGACGAATCCAACGGAGAAAGAATCGTTGAAAACGAACATCAGAAGAAGAAGAACAAGATCGCCGGAGTAATCGCCGGGCTGATTTTGCGACGGGAAACGGAGCAGGGAAAACAAAGCTGCCATCGCCGCCAGTCCATCACCGACCATCGCCGTCCTAGAAGGAGCCGATAGCACCGCCGTTTCGCTTGTCCGACGAGATAAATTTCCCCCCTGCGTTTTGCTCTCTTCCGGCGTTGCAGCGAAGAAGACAACCCAGCTGAGCTGGGGTCTGTCCTTGGGCCAGCAGTTACTGGGCTTTTTATTTTTATTTTGGGCCAGTCCGGCCCAGTTACAATAAAAATTGAAAATAAAATAGTAAATTAAATAAATAAAATCCGGAAAAATATAAATTAAATACCTAGTATAAATATACGTATTCGGGCCAACCATAATTGAAAGATAATATTTTTAGCTATTTTTAATAAATTTAATTGTAATTGGGCTAATTTGTGCATATTTAGTAAATAATTAACTAAATGATGAAAATAATTATGATATAAATATTGGAGTAAACTAGGATAAATGTATGACTAAGTAGGACCTTAAGGACCATTTATAATTAATAAAAATTAAGACTTAGTATATTTAATTATAATTGAACCGGTTAATAGATATATGAAAGCAAGTAAATAATTAAGGAAAATAATTACAAAATAGATATCTGGACAACCTAGGTCAAATATAGACCCAAAATATAGTTCGGACGGTTATTAATTTATAAAGTCGATTCTTAGGCTATTTAATTTAATTGGGCCATATAAAACTAGTTAAGTAATTAAATAAGGAAACTTTAACATTAATGGTGAATTAAATAAATCACTGAGATTGAAAATAATATTCTGGACTAAAAATGATGTTTGGAATAAAATAAGGAAAATAAAATAAGGTTGGGTTAGCTAGCATAAATAATTGACTATATGTAGACTTAATAAATAACTTATGTAATTAGTGGACTAATTAAATTAATAATTTTTATGATTAATTATTAGGGATTCGGACTTCATATAAATATCTAAAATATTTGAACTCATAAATTAACGGGTTAATATAAATAAAGTAATCAAATAATATTTTATGAGTAGACTAATGGTGATTATTAAAACAATTGGATGTTGTAGTTAATTATATTAAGATTTTTATTTAATACAAATACTATAATTAATGGTTTAATTAATAAAGTAATTTGATTAATAAAAAGTGACTAACCCGAATAAGTAATTAATTATATTAATAAAATTCGGGTAATAAGAAAAGAAAGGGAAAATATCAGATAAATTATTAAAAATAGAATAAGTGACTAATTATATCATTTTAATTAAAAAGGTGAATATTTAGAGACCGGAATCGAGAGAGAGAATTAGGAGCATCGGATTTAAGGTAAGTTTCTCTGCCAATCCAAAAATCGTTTCCTCGTATTATATATGTATTATGTGATACGTGATTTTAGTGTATGCATGTGATCTGAAAATTTCTCAATATGTGATATTTGAGAAGAAGTGCTTTTGTGTATTAAATATTTCATTTAATTATTTTCGAGGCATTTGAGAAATTGGGGAAATATTTTGAGTACACTAATCCAAGATAAAAGAATGTTTTCATGAGATATGCATCTCGGGAGTAATCCGAGGTGTTGGTTTTCCATGTCCCTTAAAACGTGGAGAGTGGTTAGGGTTACTACTAAGAAGAGATTTTTGAGTAACTTTCGGATCGATGATCCCTTTTAAGAAGGAGAGTTGTGGTAATAGTAGTAGTTCCGACGTAAAAGGGCTGCTACTGCTAAGGGTGAGGATAAGTTTTGAGTGATAATTGGATCGATGATCCCTTTTAAGAAGCAGAGTTGTAGTAGTAGTCCCTAATCATTCAGAGATATCTTATTCAGGGGTAGTTGGTAGACTGAGTCCCGATTACTCGTGACGACTTACTACTCGGAGGGCTTGGAATCCCTTTTAGGGGGTGTGCACACTTAAGGTAGTCGTTTCCTTTCCACAAGAGCAGTTGTGGTACCGACACTTGATCGGGGTGGCCGTCCGTAACCACGGTCCACCGGGCTCAGTCGAAAGGTTGAGCACCGCCCTTCTAAATTACTAAGAAGTTAGAGAAGAAGTGATTTTCTTAAAAAGTTTAAAGAGAAGAAATACTAAGAGATTTTCGAAGAGACGTTGATGATTTTAGTAAAGAAGTAATTTTAAGAAAAATCAAAGAGGAAAGATTTTTGGTGGAGTGAGTTCTTTTTATATAAGTATTACTAGTTAATAAACGCGCCATGCGCGTTCGTGCGAATGCCCAAGAAAACATATTATTTTATGATGTTAAGAATGACTATAGACAATTTATTTAGCCCAAAACAATACTCCATGTACTTTACGGAGTATCTCCTATGTTACAAAGTGTACGGTGCACATGTGACATGAGAAAAAAACGACATAAATATTAGTAAATAAATTATTTCTCTGCTTATTTGAATTATTTTATACAATTTCGGTAAGATTTTCTCCACAATCCCAAATTTACATGTGAAAAACTAATACGAACCAATTCTTT